GACTACATCTACGATACTGAATGACAAATAAATAATTTGAAAAGTAGTCAAGTTAAGTGTACTTACTAGAAGTTTTATACTTGAGTGTGTTAATTGAAGTATTGGATAGGTTGATATGAGATGAAGATGGTTATAAATCATGAATATATTATATAAGGTCCATACTTTGGCCTGGAAGGAGAGTATTATATCATATAAGGTCCATACTCTGGCCTAGAAGGAGAGTAATATATTTTAATGCCTGTAAAGTTGGAAGTTATATATAAATGAAGTTTAATTGAAGTTATCAGATAATATTTGTTTATATTATTCTGATGTAGTAGTGTTGCATTCACTGGGCTTAAAGTTCACTCCTTCCATATATATGTTTTTCTGGTACAAGATTGGGTCGCCACTGCCATATCTAGGATCTTGGGTATGAATAGGGGAAAGGAACAACAAAAAGTCTTTTGTATAAGATGTAATTATTGTGGTAGAATTTGGTAGTATAACTTGTAGTTAACGGTTTAGTTTTGTCGGAACTCACACAATGGGTGTATGATTTGTTTTTAACGGTAAACTGTTAAGTAGGTACTCTGATGTATGATGGCGTTATGTATGTATGAGGTTAATGTAGATGGTTAGATGCATTCCAATTGTTTAATTTATTAAATGGTGTAAATTGGGTTGGGGTGCGTCAATGCTGTTGCCGCAATAGTTAGTTTGGTAAGATGGGTTTGTTTGCTAGGCTTGCTTAGTTTTGTGTGTTGGGTCTTACTTATCCTTCTTTTGTTGTATTCTTTGTTGGTTTATATATTTGATTCATTTATCGAAAAAAAATTATAGAATCGGTTCGGTTCGGTTCTAGTTCCATGTTCCAACGGTTTCGGTTTTGGTTCTGGTCGGTTTCAATTTTTTGGGAACCATTAGGAATGGTTCCGGTTCCACCAGGAACCGTACTGAATTAGACTGTGTGCACTCTTACTACTGGGCACACGCTTATACATCCAATATGATGAATCAGAGGCCGATAACTTATTTTAATCTATCTATATGAAAAATTAGTAGTATGGTCCCCTTTATTGAGTCTAGATATATCTTGCACGGTGCAATAGATCCGGGGATGACAATACGAATTACGTATTACGTATGTTTAAGATTGGAAGTGGCTACCGATTAGGGGGTGGGAAAACACGATTATCTTTAGCCATAGAGGCCTGCCCGCGGACTTTGCCTTTTTGGGGGCCTTTCGGACCAATTTGTCAACGGTTTTCTTTAACTAAAGGTATATCACAACTGATAATTTTGTTTAAAAGTTGTGAAGTACTTTGACGTCGTCGTATAGATTCTATAATGTCACTCCACACCTAATTGTAGGGAGGCTATACACATAAGTGCTCAAAAAGACGTTTACATGACATGAGGAGAATAAGGTTCTAAAAGTCTTTCACATTTATGTAAAAAGTTGTGAAGAATTGTAGAGATTAAGATCAAAGAGATTGTAAATAATTGTAGAAAATTAAAGTAGATTCTAGACGAGTAAAACATTTTATACACTTGTAAATATTTAAATCATCTGAAAAATTGTATAGCAAGAAGGCATTTAAATAGGTGAGAAGTTTATTTGCAAGAAACAAGCTCTAGGGAGGGTGGGGAGCCATAATGAGACATTACCATACAAGTGGGGGATATAAGCTAGTGTGGGAGTTAGGCTGACTAGTTTTGAGAGAGACGATAGAAATATGACATTAAACTCTAATTAATAGGAATACATGTATAGATTGCTTAAACATTTCCACGACCTATACAGATTTCCACTACCTACACAATATCTTTTGGTTGCCTATGTGGATATCCTTCTATTAACCCTATATAAAGTAGTGAAAGTGATACCATAATATATAAAAATGAGAAAATTTACAAGTAAAATGAACAGTGATAAAAACTTGTATGAACAAAACATAAACAAGAAAGAATGATAAACAAGTTTTCACAAACACACCATTATATAACTATTTTAGTAACTTATACAAGGAGTAGATGTTAATTTTGTCCTTTAATAAGTAGCAAACATCTAAACCTTTTATAAGGGCCCGTTTGGCATGTCTTTTGTTTTAAACGTTTTGTTTTTAATTAAAACATAAACAGTGTTTTTGCTGTAGAATAAAAAAAATCGAAAGCACGTTTGGGAACGATATTTTAGACGTTTTGTTTTTTTGCCCATGTTGCGCTACTGTTATGGTTTTGGGCCATGAACCGTTGTCAAAATAAGAAAAAATAACTTTTTGGTGTTTTAGTTTTGGGCCACTGTTCGCGAAGTATTTTAGCACGGTATAAAATTAAACAAGGTCGCACCGAACATACTTTTGTTACCAAAATTGACACTGCAGCAGCTAAAAAACAAAAACAACAGAAATAAAATGCATGCCAAACAGAGCCTAAGTTGTTAATGAACTATAATCTAGTTTACTCTTTACTCGTTGAAGTTGATGGTACTTTGTTACTCCCATTTTATGGTCTTAGGTTCAATTTTCTCCCCCTAACTACTATTTTATTTTATTTTATTTATTTTTTTAACCCTCTAACCGTTACCAGAAATTTTTATTTTATTATATTTTTATCTCTGTTCAACAGAACCCTTAGATGGTAACAATCCTGCCTTGTTAAGACATCATCAAAAATTACTTTGATTGATACTTTTTTTCCTTTTTGGTAAGGAAATTTACTTTGTTAGGTAACTGTGCAAATTACAAATTGCATAATTTAAATTACAACCCTTATGATATTTATATATATATATATATATATATATATATATATGTATGTATGTATGTGTGTGTAGCGAAATGAGTTGGATTCCCAACACAAAGAAATAGAAGAATGGATGAAGTAAAATAAGTAGAAAATGGAAAATAGATGAGAAATTATGAAGACACAGATTGATAATTGGTTTCTCGATTTGCAATTCTCTGCCACCCCCAAACTTCATGCCCTCTCACCCTGTAATCCATATTCGAGAGAGTAGCGAATATTAATATTCCCGTCAATCAAAACACTGCGTTTCTTATTATCAAAGTGCATAGGATGTTCTGATTGGCTGCAGTATTTAATAACCACTACTCCGGTATAACGTATATTTCTACATGGAATACGAATTGCGCTTATACTAGCTGTTGAAGTGGGTGTATATAATTGATTGTATGCACTTCTAATAAACGTCTAAGAGCATCTCCAACCGACAAATCTTACGGGACACATGCAACAACTAGTTTTGACATAAAAAACTCCTCCAACCAACCGAAATCACAAATGCCTACCTAGCATTTGACATATGAAGCAATTTGTCAAATTTGACATATCCAAAAAGTTTATGCCAAATGAAAATTTTTCATTATTTTAAAATATATGGATCACACAAACTATTCAAATTTGGCATATTGAACATTTTCACCCGAAACTTTAAATATTACTACGCAATAAGTTAATAGATTTGACACATTAAATGGAGTATGCCAAAATACCATATGCCAATTTAACCGAAATTTGAAATTTTGGATGGAGATGCTCTAAGCTGGGTTTGTGTTTGCTGGTTTTGGGTTGTATTTGAGTTGGGTCCATGCTAGGGCTTATTTTGCGTCATAAATTTAGGCTGGTTGGGTTTCCTTGGTGGGCTTTTAGGCCTGTCTCCCACTCTCAATTGGGTTTGTTGTAACTATTCTCCTTCTTTTTCAGCCCACTATAATTATTTACCCGTCCAATATACTTTGCTTGATTACTATAATACATTTGGTTAAAAGGCATATTGTTGAAAGCCAACCAAATTAGAAATTAGAAATTAGAAATTAGAAATAAGTTGTTTTAATTTAGAAGGCAATTTTTTTTTTCATATTTACATTCATAAATAGTACTCGATTGCAACATGGAACAACTTCTTTCACATCTTGATAAGCCCACCACTCATCTTCCATGTTTTTTTTTTCTTCTTCTGGTAAGTAGACTCATCTTCCATGTTGGAAGTTAGGATTGAGCGAAATTTGATATGGACATTTGTGTTTTCTCATTTTCTGCGAAATTTGACTTTAACTTAGAAATTAGATTCCAATTGTCATGTTAGTTCCAGCTTTTATCATTTTTTTTCAAGCAACAACTATATATATTATATATATATATCTATATATAATAAGTCTCCTTAAATTGAGGCCTAATTTTTAGTATTTCTTAGTGCAATTTTTTTATTAAAATAATTGTATTCCTAAATAATTTAGATGCTTATAGGGAAAGATAAGTAAATTATACTAAATTCTTCCGAATTTTGGGCAAAATATATATGAATTAGATCATTGAATATTACATCTCTTTTGAGATTTGGGACGACACCTCTAACATGTCCTTTTTTTGAAGGAAAGTCAAAGAAATAAATGAATTGCCTATTGTTTGTGTAAATACGGATAAATAAATAATTAATTAATTAATGCAATTTACCCTACTGCTCTCTAATCTCTCTAATTAATGCAATTTTCTTCCTTCACATCTGACGGTCTGTACACTTCCACGTGGACGGAATCAGAGAGTCAAACACCAAATGAAAATTTGGATTTGCCGCGCCCACGTAAGTCCACTCAATCACACAATAGGTTCGAAATCTGTCATTTACTAGACCCGAGGCTCGGCAACTCCGAACCATACCCGAACACAAACATAAACCTCAGATCCGACCCTCCGACCTCCCTCTCTCTGTGTTCAGACACGTCCCTTCTATTCCAAAAAAACCCCAAATTGGCGCACGCCACTCCATTTCCAGCCGTCCGATGATCCGACCCAGATAGATCGCCGACGGTAAGTCATACGCCCTCCACGTGCGTTTCTCTTCGATCCATTGGTCAACTCAATAAAAGCTCCGATCTTGATCTCCGAATCATGATTATTATATATGAAGTTTTGTATAGTTGAAGTTGAATCTTTTAGTAGCTCCAATGATTTACAGAGTATGTGTTTTTTTTTTTGTTCTCTCTCTCTAAAACTATTGTTTTTGCTTGTTAAGAAACACACTTCATGTAAAATTCTTGTGTTATGGAGTAACAGACATGTGGCCCAGAAGCCTGTTGAATGTGAATACTCGTTTCTCTCTCTATGTTGAGGTTGAGATATGGTGTGTCTTATGTGCCAGAAAAAAAACAGAGTTTTTATTTTTTACTAGTAGAATTTTTTTTTTTCCTCTGGCGGACTTCGTATAATCTAAGCTAATTAGGTACAGAGCTTTACATCAAATCGGCTTATGTAAGTTTGAATTCAACGGTAAAAGGAAAAAGTTACTACCGTTTTCTTTAAATTTTCTTCATCTTTTTTCTCGGGAAATCATTATTGAGAAATAAATGCGTAACAACCGTTCTCACATGCAGATATGTGGATAGCCTTTTGAGTACAAGGACTCAGAACAACTTGTTCTAGGACTTGATACACTGTATCTACGCGGAATCAGATCGTCGGACTAAGATTGAAGCCGGAGTTACAGTGATCGGCGTTTAGGTTACTTTGATTAGCTGTGATGTCGAGTTCAGAGAGGCCGTCGTCGTCATCTTCAGCGAGAGAGATTGATCCGTTGTTGAAGGATCTGAGTGAGAAAAAACAAAGCTTTCGCCGGAACGTGGTGTCTTTGGCGGCGGAGCTCAAAGACGTTCGAGTTCGTCTCGCTAACCAGGAACAATCGGTTGCTCGTGAAACCCTAACAAGACAGGCATGTGTTTTGTTGTTTGCCCTTTTTTGAATTAATTTGTTTTCTTTCTGTATTTGTATGATTGATCTATGTATGTGTGTATATCTATATATAAACAAATACATATATAAAAAATTGTACTTGGGAAATGAAATCATTTCAACTTTTTGTTCTTCTCTATAAAGGTTCTGTTGTTTGTGGGACCATTTAACTTTGTGATTTGTTTCAATGTTTTTTAAATTTAATTTATTTTTGGGGGGTTTTCCACAGGAAGCAGAGACCAAGGCCAAGAGCATGGAAGAGGAGATCTGTAGACTGCAGAAGAGCTTGGAGGAGAGAAATGGGCAGCTTCAAGCATCGGCATCTACTGCTGAGAAGGTGCCACTCATATCTATCTATGAATGTGTGTCTGTGTTTGTTTATACATCTGTATATGGAACATGTACTGTATATATAGCATTTTGATTAGATCATTGAAAGTTAATACTGGATTACTAATTAGGATTTATGACTTATTAGCTATTGTAATGATTGAACTTGTTCTAATAAGGTGTTTCTCATATGTTGATGGCTTGAGGTTATTTTGGGGTTTTTCAAATCCCACTATCTATAGATTCCTGATTAGATCATTGAAAGTTAATACTGGATTACTAATTAGGATTTATGACTTATTAGCTATTGTAATGATTGAACCTGTTCTAATAAGGTGTTTCTCATATGTTGATGGCTTGAGGTTATTTTGGGGTTTTTCAAATCCCACTATCTATAGATTCCGTGCTCTCGTCTTCAACTTTTTCTGGCTTTCTTTTGGCTTTTCCTTCTTGTTTTTTGTTGGAGCACTTGGGCTGAAGGTATCCAAGTGTTTTGATATTATATTATTGTTTTACTCTTTGTCTTTTTGGTTTGAATGGTTCAAGATTTGTCTGTATGTATAAGTATGGCTTGGGCATATTAAACTATAGTTTGCTACATGAGATAGTGACGGTGGTGGTTGCAATTTTTCAATGCAAGGCATTTAGTCAAGATATTTGTTGTATTTTCATTCCTAGTTTCTGTTTTCCTTCCCCATTGGTCTTAATATTTTATGATGAAAATGATTTCGAGCAAGGAAATTGCTACAGATGGCACATGAACTGTGGTGGAAGGAATTCATTTCCATCGGATTACATGAGGAATTTTGAAACTTTTATTATATGGATACGCTTTGATGATAATTTAAGATGAAACAAGTTTCAGTCGCCAATCTAAGTGTAAATATGCTTGTTTGACAAGGTTCCCAATTAGAAGTTTCACTTATATAAATGATTTACCATTCTAGATAGATCGTTGTTCTTTTCCCTTTCGCTATGGTGAAAAATTGTCTGCCATTTATTCAATAATTTCCAAACCGACTACTTTTTAGGCCAGTATTTATGGGTGGCTTAGAAATTTTTTTAATCAAATTTTAAGCTGGGCATAACCAAGTTTTGGTAGCTGTTTTTATTGTTGACTGTTGAGTGAACACATCTGCAATTTAAATCAGTGAAAGATTCAATCTTCTATTGGGCAATACTTGAACTGCGTTTGTAATGAACCTGATTTGGAAAATTGATAGATGAAAAGTGACCTGGTGACTTTTCAGGCTTTCACTATCTAAGCAAATCACTTCTGTTGTAGTGTTAAGTTAAATGCTGAATCTCTCCGTATCATGATCTAATTTGGCAATTTGGTGCTGAAATGGGAATAATATGAGATGAAGTACATAAACCATCGGAGTTGCTCTGAATGCATTTATTTTGTATCTGATTATACTGGTTCGCTGTCTATATTCATATGTTGGTTTCTTAGTTAATATAAAAAATTTGACCTCCCAAACAATTGCATTATGCCAAGGACTAAGAGATGCATGTCGAGCGAGAAACATGGAATGATGAGATCATGAATCTATTTACTGAGCAATACATTTCTAGTCCTTGGCAATTTTCTCAATGCAAGGCATTTAGTCAAGACATTTGTTGTTTTAAGTTTTCATTCCTAGTTTTTGTTTTCCTTTTCCCTGGGTCTCAATATTTTATCATGAAAATGTTTTCGAGTAATGAAATTGCTACAGTTGGCACATGAACTGTGGTGGAAGGAATAATTATTCCATCGGATTACATGAGGAATTTTGAAACTTTTATTATATGGATACGCTTTGATGATAATTTAAGATGAAACAAGTTTAAGTCGCCAATCTAAGTGTAAATATGCTTGTTTGACAAGGTTGCCAGAAGTTGAGTTTCACTTATATAAATGATTTACCATTCTAGATAGATCTTTTTTGTTTTCCCTTTTGCTATGGCGAAAAATTATCTGCCATTTATTCAATAATTTCCTAACCAACTACTTTTTAGGCCAATATGTATGGGTGGCTTTGAAATATTTTGATCAAATTTTAAGTTGGGCGTAACCAAGTTTTGGTAGCTGTTTTTATTGTTGACTGTTGAGTGAACACATGCAATTTAAATCGGTGAAAGATTCAATCTTCCATTGGGCAATAAATTAACCGTGTTCGTAATGAACCTGATTCGGAAAATTGATAGATGAAAAGTGACATGATGTCTTTTCAAGCTTTCACTATCCAAGAAAATTACTTCTGTTGTAATGTCAAGTGAAATACTGAATCTCTACATATCATGATCTAATTTGGCAATTTGGTGCTGAAGTGGGAATAATATGAGGTGAAGTACGTAATATACCATATGAGTTACTTTGAATGCATTTATTTTGTATCTAACTATGCTGGTTCACTATCTATATTCATATGTTGGTTTCCTAGTTAATATAAAAAATTGACCTCCCAAACATTTGCATTATGCCAAGGTCTAAGAGATGCATGTTGAGCGAAAAACATGGAATGATGAGATCATGAATCTATTTATTGAGCAATACACATCAATTTACTCAGCAATACCGAATCTCATTTGCATTTGCATATGTCTATTGCAGTTGCATTTTCTTAGTCCTTGGCAATACCTTATTTAATAAATCCAAAGATTTGCATTTGCATATGTCCATTTTTCCTTTAGTTCTTTCATTGGCATGACTAGTAACATCTGCTCCTTGTTTGTTGTGTGGAGTTGCTTGAGGTATTGAAGTCCTTAGAGCTCTTAGATTTGTGTTCAACACTCAAAATCACTCAACAACTAAGTGGATGGACAATGAATGAAAACTAGAATGCACACAAGTTTCTTTTGCACTGCTCTTTGATGCTTAATGTACATATGCTTTTATATGTTTTGTGAAAACCTTGGTTCTTTATATAGAATTTTGAACCAAGGAAGGATTAGGGTTAAGAGAGCTCAGACCCTTCTTGCAGACATTAATTGATTGGGATCGAGTTAGTCTAGTGGGTCTACAGCAATCCTTCGATTGGTTGAACTCTCCTGTCCCAGTTTCTGTGGGATTTCTAAAATAGAAACAACAATTTTCATTTTAGAACTGATCTTTATGAGTCAAAACATGCAATTTGAAAACCTAACATTTACTAGGCTAAATTGGCGAGTGCACAATTCTAAGAGTTGAATTTTATTTTTTGGTTTAGGTGAAGCCTTTGAATTTATCAATTTGACCTTGGACAAAGGTAATTCAACTACCATAATTAACTAACGTTTAGAATCTAAATGAATTCCAAATTCAATATACACACTGTTTTGGATGAAATTTGCCAACCTAAATCCTATGGTCTCACACATTTTCTGTCTTTGTTATATTGTTTTGAAACTATAACTCATCTTTGTTCTTCATCTTGTTTAAGTCGTTGCAAGTTGTGCAGTTTCCCTTGAAATGAGTCAGCATTTATAATTCGGTTTGTACCTTTTTAATGCAATGCAGTATCTCAAGGAATTGGATGGTTTTAGATCACAGCTTTCGGCCACTCAAGCAACTGCAGATGCAAGTGCTGCATCAGCTGAATTGGCACAGCTTCAATGTTTAACACTTCTAAAGGAGTTAGATGAAAAAAGTAGTTCATTAAAACAGCATGAGGTTCGTGTAAATAGGCTAGGTGAGCAATTAGATCTTCTGCAGAAGGATCTCCAAGCAAGGGAATCTTCACAGAAGCAACTAAAAGATGAAGTTTTGAAAATTGAACATGATATTATGCAAGCAGTCGCCAGAGCTGGAGCAAGCAAAGACTGTGAGCTGAGGAAAATATTAGATGAAATTTCACCAAAGAATTTTGAAAGGATCAATAGGCTTTTGACTGTCAAGGATGAGGAAATCTCTAAACTGAGAGATGAAATCAGGATTATGTCTACTCACTGGAAGCTCAAAACTAAGGAATTGGAGTCGCAAGTATGTTGAAATTTTCAGTTTTTTTTTTTTTTTTTCAAATTACTCTTTGGTTCTTCTTTTCCACTCCAAAAGTTTAATTCAATTCTTCTTCAAGCAAATGGTTCAAATTTATTAATTAGCTTTGACCTGTTTGTTGAACAGCTAGAGAAACACCGGAGAACTGATCAGGAGTTAAAGAAGAGGGTTTTAAAGTTGGAATTCTGTCTCCAGGATGCTCGATCGCAGACGCGGAAGCTCCAAAGGGTATATACTGTATCTTTACCCTTGTGATAAAACTGGACACATTTTGTTTTCTCAAGCATTTGATATTTTTTATTTGCTTGCCACCGATCCGAATCCGATGTCCTAAATTTGCATAGTGAGCATGTACCATGGTAATTAACAAGTCTGAGAAAAAATCAGGTTTTCATCTTATAGATTGTCCAGACCCTTTATTGTGCGCAAGTAGTATTGTAGTGTTCTGCCATGCCACAAGACCCATAATTAGTGTTCTACCTGCGTAACTGCTACATTTAAGCCTTAGTCCCCTTTCTGCAAAAAGAAATTGTCCCCATAAATTCATATGGTCCGCAACCTTGTGGCATCTTAGTGACCAATAAATGTACCAAAGTTGATAGTGGTTATGTCCAGAAATTTTTTCGGTGCATGTGTGAATAAAAGGATTGCATGTACACGGTGGTGGATTCTGGGGCGTGCTTAGACGCCCAACACCACCCTTGTCCGAATATATATACTCAGTATCTATATATGCGAGGCTTGATAGTACCTTTCCCAAGAGAGATTTCCACATGTTTTTGCTCCTTTTTTTCTTCTTAATATTATTGCTGAATATCATAGCTATATTATCCATTAATCTAGCTTACTAAATGTTGGAATATCCATTGACAGATGGGAGAGCGAAGGGACAAAGCTTTGAAAGAACTCAGAGATCAGTTAGCAACAAAGCAACATGGTAGAGATGCGGGTGCCGAAAAACAGAATTTCTGGGAAAGCTCTGGTTTCAAGGTGGTAGCGTCCTTGTCAATGCTGATCTTGGTATTGTTTTCAAAGCGATAAAGTTTGTTTTGTTGTTTATATTACTATGTATAAAAAACAATGTAATTGAGGAGATTAATGAACATTGTAGATGCCGTTTTATTTGTAGAAGAAATGCGAGTCACTTTTTTAATTCTTATTATTATATATATATATATAACTGTATATGCGTCACTGCAGTTGTTGATGATTGGCGAGCTGTAACATGGGGAATATTTTTGTTACTAGGCAAAAAAACATAAAACTCCTCTCAAGTAAAAAAAAAAAAAATTTAACATTTTACACTGAATTACAAAATTGTAAAATACCATCAATACCCTCATGCTATATATGTAGTCTGTCCAAGGAAACTCCACCTCACTCTCCCTCCCTCTCTCTACAAATTACATTCTCTCTCTAAAACTCCTCTTTTTTTCTTTTTCTTTTCAAAATTCATATTCCTTAGTCCTTGTATTTCTTTTCGTTTTCTTGCAAATATTTTGGGAACCAAACGAAAATTTTTCTTTCCCTCCCTTTCTCTACAAATTACATTCTCTCTCTAAAACTCCTCTTTTTTTTTTTCTTTCTCAAGATTCATATTCCTTAGTCCTTGTATTTCTTTTCGTTTTCCTGCAAATTTTTCGGGAACCAAACGGAAAATTAGAATTTTTAATTTTATGTACAAAAGCTTTGGATTTTAAATCATAGAAGTTGGGGAATGAAAATTTTGGTAGCTGACAAACTTTGGACATAACTGGTAGATGACAAGCTTGGGATAATTTTTTTTTATTTTTTATGCCAAACTTAGGTTCCTGACCAATCATAGCGGACCACATCAACAAAAAACATACAGTCAGCGTTGATCAGAAGCACACGTCAATAATACCTTTTATCAAATACTGTATAAGTTCATCTCTCTTCGTTTTCTCTCTCCTCGCGACTTTGTTTCTGATGACGACCACCACCACCACCACCACTTGACGGCTACTTGGTGATATTCCAACCATAGCTAAAGTTACAGTGCTTTGGACGAGGTTTAGGGTTAGAGCACGGCACCGGAGATGGAGACGTGGCTGCCGACAAGTTCGCAGCGGTGGTGAAATTGAGAGAGAAGGCACATTGAGAGAGAAGGCGGATGCACTGGCGGCATCGCGCAGAGAGAGAGAAGGGGAAAACGAAAGTGGGTTAGGTTTTTTTTTTTTTTTTTGTTACACAATGTGCGTTTATATTTATATACATATATAGAAATAAGTAATACAGTAATAAATAAATAAAATAAGAAACATAAAATGAGATTGTGTATCTATATATTTATATATATGTGGGTTTATATATCTTGTTCATATAAGGGATATATAGATCTGTCTATTTATGGAGAGAGAGATAAAGGGTAGGTGATGGCAGGTGGAGAGAGAAGAGAAAGAATGAAAAAGGGGTACAATGGTCAAATGGATGGGCAAAGATAGAATTATAAAAAAAAACGTACTACTCACGGGTGCAACTGTTGGCCGGAAATGAGACGGAAAAGACTGTCAGGGGTCAAACTGCACATTTTTAATAGTAAAGATATTGACTTGCTCGATTTTATAGTTTAGAAAAGTAAAATGTTGGTTTTTAATATTTGAGGGATTTTATGCTTTTTTGCCTTATTACTATAATTCAAGTTCCCACATCGATTGTTTGCAAAAAAATTGCCCTCTTCTTAAATGGACATGTCCAATGCCAAAGTGAGCCGAGCTCAGTAACGCGAGCTTGTGACCCAAGTCGGGGTAGTAAGGCTAACGGAAGTGGCTGGGACATTGCACAGTGTACAATCCACCCACCGAGGTGGGCTTTGTCTCGCCCACCAGGGTGGATGCTGGCTTTAAGGAGAGCAGTCGTCATGATGCTGCCCCTCCTTGCGCCCCTTGCGATGGGTTTGTAGAGAGCCCCGCCTCGAACTTGGCCTTTTGCTGTATGGCCCTTTTATGCAACAGATTTTTATTTTCCGTAAATATTTGTGAGATGCGAGGACAATGTGTCAGAAATTGGGTGGCAATATTTAACAATACACCAGATAAGTAGGTTTAAATTTGGTTTATTGGTGTTTGTGTCAATCTGAATTGAGACAATAATTAAACGTATCGTTAAGGCTGACAATTCGTGTTCATGTGTCGTATGGATGTAAGGGTATTTTACTAAACAGGTAAATCTAAACTTAATCTATTAAATAATTGTGTCAAGAACCTTTAATACTAACCCGACCTGTTTAGGCTGTTTATCAAACGGCTTAACGATTATAACATGTTGAGTTAAACGGGTTGAACTCCTTAACCCTAACCCGACACGGTTAAGTAAATTGTGTCAACTATTTTATGACCCGAATCCGTATAAGGTTAACCCAAACTCACTTATATCGCGTTGTGTCATAATTTGCCATCCCTACGTATCGTGTTTGTGTTTGACCTGTCAACCCGATTAACCCAATTAACCCGTTTAACTAAACATGTCGTGTTGTGTTCGTATTAAAAATGATCCGTTTAGTAAAATATGGTGAATAAAAGTATCGTGTTCAGGTCAAAAATGATTTAAACGTGTCTTGTCTTGTTATTTCATGCCGTGTTAAGTCTTGAACTATTTATTAAACGGATTACGCGTGTCGTGTTACCCATATAATAATCGTGTTAGGATTTCTTGACACGAATAATAAACGTGTTATATTCGTGTCGACCCATTTAACAGAATACTCATACTCTAACATGACACGAACACGACTCGCCAATACGAATTATCACTTCTAATCTGAATTATAAACGTGGATATGCCTTATCTGAGAAAAAAATAATAATAAAAAAATAAAATAAAATAAAATAAAAAATTTCTTTCAAGAGGCTTAAAACCATCATTGTCGAATAAAAGTAAAAAAAAAAAAATGTTGTCGGGTTGACAGTAGCTTCCCCAAAAGAGATTTCCAACTTATTGTCATCTTTAATATATGCTGATGATCAAGGTCACTCCACATGAAGAGAAAAAATTTGGAATTTAAACGGGGAGAAGGTCACTCCACTTAATAAGTCATTCAATAGAGTTCCACTTGCAGTGAAGAGAAGGAATCTAAAATTTATACGGGACAAGACTACACCACTTAATAAACTTTTTGGGTTGGATACCCCAACCTAACTTAAATTCATAACCATTCTCCATTAAGCCAGCTTATTAAATGTTCATCTTGGTATAATTTAATTATGTTTTTTATTTTTTATTTGTTACTATAATGCATTCCCATGTTAGGTAATTTGACAATCAATCTAAATACTAGGCTACTGTTCCAGAGACTAAGCAGTAAACATTATTTTAATTAGACTTATTTATCCAATTTTGACTTCCATAACATATTCTTATTTTTCCTCCATACGTCACTGAATAAATTGCCATACTAATTCCCACAGTTACTTTTTTAACAATATTTTCCCTTCATTCTCAATATGAAATTTCAAAATGAAAATCAACATCACCTGCATATAGGGCTGGGCCAGTGGAGCTAGAAAAAGTAGAATATAAGACGGAATTAAATTTGTGAGAGGCAGTCCGGGGGGTGTTCGGAGGTGGAACACCCTGGTCCTACCCTAGCCACAGGGTTGTTGCTGGCTTGACAGAGCAGCTTCCAAAAAGGAAGCATCTTCATTATGTAAAAGAATGAATGATGCGTGGTCTGCCTTTCCTTGGCAAGGTTTGATAAGACGGAACCTTGTCCAGTGTTGGGCACTGCGGTGTCCACTGATCGGGCTCCCTCCCTAACCCAACGTCGACCTTTTATGTTTTAAAGTGCGGATTCAATGCTTCTAAACATTGTATTAAGTTTTGGGATATGAAAATATCTATGTTCTCAAGCCTCTTCAAGACATGAATCTGACAAAACTAGCCAAATTTGAAGCTAAATCAAGATTCTTATGACATACAAAAATAAAAAAATTCCATGTAATTGAAATCAAATTTACTATTACATCTTTCAAATATACAAATACAAAAATTCAATGAAATAAAACTAGCCTAATTGCCTTAACCTAGCTAGCTAGGCTTTTACAAACCCTAGTTGATTTTGGGTTCCCAAAACCGTGTATTACTTACTAGTTAAGATATAGATTTAGAAAGCGTGAATATTTAATTGTACAAGGACTAGGAAGTAGCTAGAGAGTGGACCTAAAGCCATAATGATTCTCATAATTAATTGCGGTGAAAATCTTAGAATTTTTTGGATTGACTGAATAAGGTCAAAATTTTAATTTTACATCATTTATAAAAGTTAAATTTGATAAAATAATTTTATTGAAGAAGGTTAAAATTTTAATTTTTAAAATAAATTCGATAAAATAATATTATTGAATGAGGTCAAAATTTTAATTATATATATAATGAAAACCAATTAAAGTTAAAGTATGGGCATGTTAGATAGGTTAGCACCCAATTCATATATACCCATTCGAATTCGATGTGGGACAAGTTTCACTTATAACATTTTCCTCCACCCGAACTTGCTTAAGCTGTTAGCCCTACCTTTATATATATATCCGAGACTTGAACCCTCTATTTAAAATAGGATATCATAATTAGGATTTTTTTTTTTTTTTTTTTTTTTTTTTTTTTTTTTTCCTTCGGTAAGTATAATTAGGGTTTTTTATTAGCTTATTTTTATTCTATGAGCTTTTTGGTTTTGGATTTTTTGGCTGTTGATTCAAAAGAAATGAATATAGTTTTATTATTGTTGGCACCATTGAGGTTTTTACTAGCAATTCATAATCTTTTCTTCAATCACTTTTTCGTAAATGAAATCATATCATGGTGTAATAATATAGATCGATAAGTTGCACATGCCCTCATTTGTTTCAAAAATAGATGACATACATATTATTATAGTTAAACTTTGGTCTATGTAACTTCTATTTCATATGTGGGAGGCGAAATCCCACCTATCTCAATGAAATCTATAATTGGTTGGAAGAGTATCTCTAAATTGAAGCGATTGCAGATGATATAAATAACTAGTAAATATGTTCTTTCCGTGTTAACATATTTTATTGTTTAGCAGAAATTACACTTGCTTGTTTTTTTAGTACAAGTAGCTATGAGTTTTGCTATGACTTTTTACTATATTTTGTAATGATATGCGTGCCTTTT